GCCTACCATCATTTGCGGATGCGGTTCTCTGATGAATGTTTCTTACAATTTCGCATGGGTGGGGAGGTCTTTGCTTGTCGCGCCCTCCCCTTTGGGCTCTCCTTATCGCCCTACTTTTTCACCCATTTTATGTTGGTGGTGACCCGTTTCCTTCGCTCCCCGGGTTCATGTGCCAAGGCGGCGCGCCAATTTCAGTTTGGCCGTCTTGCGGGGAATGATTCGATCTACCGTTATTATGCACGTTACACGGTCGCTGACCCCGCCATTATTTTGGCTTATCTGGACGATTTTTTGGCAGCGATGAGCGATCCCCAGAAATTACGAGAATGGTCCCATTTAGTTCGGGAGATCTTTGGGGCCTTGGGGATTCGCTTTAAGGATCGGAAATGTCAATGGGAACCCGTTCAGGTCAAGCGGCACCTCGGGGTGGTGATCGACACCACCGCTTGTATGTTTTTCGTTCCACGGGACAAGGTGATCAGCATTGCCGAGAAAGCTCGGGTCCTTCGGGCCCGGCGATGGGTGGTGGCGCGCGATCTGGCCCGTTTTTGTGGGCTGGCCATTTCGGTGTACTTGGCCTTCCCACTTGCTCGGTTTTTTCTTCAGAGCCTCTACGCGGTGCTGCGGACCAAGCGTTCTTGGCGGGATCGCCTATGTTTGACCCCCCAAGCGTGCCTCGATCTTGAGGCCTGGGTCCATTTGCACCGTTGTGACGGTCGGCCCCTCAATCCCGATGCTGTGCCCTTCGCCGGCACCTTGGCTACGGACGCCTCTCTGACGGGCTGGGGCGCGACTTTCACCCCCCCGCATGCTGATCACCCACGGTTGGCACAGGGCTTTTTCGATCGATCGTTGACGCACATCAATGTGCGTGAAATGCAGGCGGTGGCCCTGGCCATTCGGGCCTTTTTTCCGGTCGATTCCCCCTCGATCTCGGCGAGGCTGCGGCTCCTGGTGGATTCGCAGGTGGTCCTTTTTTGTATCCGCAGCATGACGACCGGTTCCGCCCAGCTGCGGGGCCCTCTACGCCAACTGCAGCGGATCTGTTCGGCCCGCTCACTGCTCCTCGATCCGGAATACATTCCGTCCAAGGACAACACCATTCCCGACCAATTGTCTCGGCTCCGGGGTGGGGAGGACTATCGCCTCAATCCTTCCATTTTCAAGGCGATTACACGGGCGTTCGGGCGGCGGACCATCGACCGTTTTGCTTCCCAACGGAATTCCCTTTGTCCCCGCTTCAACTCGCTTCATCACGAGCCGGAGTCGGACGGAGTGGATGCCTTCCGGCAGGATTGGACGGGCGAGACCAATTGGGCCAACCCGCCTTGGTCTCTTCTCCCTCGCCTCACGGCCTTCTTGACGCAACACGCGGAGGTGGAAGCGGTGGTGTTGGCCCCCGATTGGCCCTCCGCCATTTGGTTCCTGCAGCTCCGCCGGCTAGCCTCGCGGGAGATGGCCATTCCCCGCCGGCCGAACATGTTCCTTCCGGGGGATCCCGCTCTTCCGGCCGACCTGCCTCCCCCACGGTGGAACCTGAGGGCGTTCCACGTGCAGCCGAGGAGTCGGACTCCGCATCCAGTGCAGTGACGCCGCGATCCGCCCCAGGGTCGCCGGTGGCGGGCCCCCTCCCCGAGGAGGCCATGCCGCCCGACCACCCCCTCTTCGGCTGCGATGTGGATACTCTTTCGGCGTCGGATCGCGCCTGGATGCGCGGCCAATTCCTGTCCTTTTACACGGAGTCTACGAGGCGCACCATGCATTCGAAATTCGACAAGTTCGCCGCTTCCTGCGCGAACAACGACCTCGTGGCGCTACCGGCGAGGCCGTCGTCCATCTACCGCTACATTCGGTTTTTGCGGGAGGAAGGGCGCGTGGGAGTGCGGAGTCTACCTCAGTATCTGGCGGCCATCTCGATGGTGCACCAATCCATGGGCCACATCAATTTTTCGGCCTTCGATGCCGTCACCCGCCGGCTCACCCGGGCGTGGAGACGCGATGCCCCGGAGCCGGCGCATTCGCATCGTCCGGTGCCCTCCTCGGTGATGCTCGCCATCCTGGCGCTCGGCATGTCTACGGCGGACCTTCGCCTCCTACGGGCGGCCTGTTCGGCAACGCTGGATTTCATCTTTTTCAATCGGGCGCAAAGCGGCCACCTGATTTTACTCGAGGACCTTCGCCTCGAGAACGGCCTGCTGGTCTTTCGCGAGCGGCGGACCAAGCTTTGCGTCTCCACGGACCCGCGTGTGCGCTGCCGCTCTTGGCCTTCCAACGGGGCGCCCGCGGTGGTGGATCTTTTTCTTCGCTGGTCTGCGGCCCGCGACAAGGCGTGGGCGGATGCCGGTGCCTCCCCGCGCCATTTCTACACCTTGCCGGGGGAAGCCGATCCGTCGGCGCCGACCGTCTCCAGCTGGTTCCCGGTCCTCCTCCGCGCCCTCCCCTCTCCGCCGCCCGAGCACTTCGATCATCACGGCCTTCGTGCGGGTGGCGCCAGCGCTTGCTACGCGCTCGAGGTGCCGGAGGGGCGCATTCGCGCGTGGGGCGAGTGGCGGAGCAACGTCATTTGGAAGTACATCGATGTGTACCGCCTCCCGTCCGAGTGGGACTACCGGCTGTTTGGCTGGATGACGATTACGGCCCGCGACTTGCACGCCCAATACGGGCATCTTTTCTGCCCCGGAGGGGCGTCATCGGCCCAAGAGTGACCAAGGCATGACCACGCCTTAGCTCCGGAGGAGCTGCACCGTGCCCCAGTGTGAATGGGCACATTTCAAGTGGGTCGCCAATCGGGTCTTGTTTTAGTGAGGTGATGGACACCAAACTGTGAGTATTGTAATGTAGTGTCGTGTGGGGAACACGGGGGGGGTTGAAGGAGACCGGTAAGGCAGAAATAGAATTAACTATCCTGTTAATGAGTTTCTGCCTAGGACGACGATTGGGTGGGCGCGCAACGGCCAGGTCGGGCCGTTCCGCCCTTTGGGACAGTTTGGGCCATCCATCAGCCGGTTTCTGTCTCCCCTGTACTCGGGGTCAGTACTGCCCGACGCATCCTAGGGCGATGGGGTTGATCCTTGTACCTTGGGCGCAGCCAAGGGGACCGGTCAAGCTGGCCCTTGGGTTTGGCGGGGAGTTTGGCGGCAAGTGGGAGCGGCTATTTTAGGCGCGACCCGTGGCGCCCCCCTTTATCTTGTTTCGCACCCGCCCGGCCCACCCTAATAGAGTGAGTTCGGTTAGCTGTGGGATAGAATGGGAGTCGAGTACGAGGAAAGGGGAGCTGACTCTGGGTTGAGTCACCATCAGAGTGGCATTAAGTACTATGCGAAGCGAGGGCACATTTCAAGTGGGTCGCCAATCGGGTCTTGTTTTAGTGAGGTGATGGACACCAAACTGTGAGTATTGTAATGTAGTGTCGTGTGGGGAACACGGGGGGGGGTTGAAGGAGACCGGTAAGGCAGAAACAAGCGTGGTTGGCTTGTTTTGCACACATTTGGGCGATGTGAACTGACCATATCATATGCTCCTGGAGTTGTGCAAACGGTGCAGACATTTCGGATGCGCAATTCCTGTGACCCAACAAGGCTTTCCTGTTATCCGTTCGAGCGGTGGAGATTTAGTGGTGATATTACGATGCAAACCCTGGAAGAACATTTTGGACCTGAGCTTCGCCACCATGTGCCAAACGCTTCAATTTCACCACAGCCGAAGGAGGCCAGACTGCCCACAGGCTGGCACCTGGCATCTTGGCCAGTACAGGGCAACAACCAAATAAGTTCAGAATCATGCATCCTGAGCTGTCCCTCAGATGTTCCACCAATGAATCTTTCAATAGCGATCAGAGCAGGATTACTATCCAATCGTCTCGTCCCCCAGTGATCCTCTTCGATGGGCTCCCTGCTGTTCTGCTCTCTGCTCAAGTTGACGAGCTGCAAGACAAAAATTGGAATGTTCCAGAAGTCAGAGCCGCATGCGATTGTGTAGCGATACATCCGAACACATGTTTGGCAGCGCTACGGTCGATACGGTGCATATCACCTAAGTACTGCTGCCACAATCCAGATCCAAAAACAGGAGTTGGCATCGCCCGATCGCCCATCGCTGCACTGGGCCTCTTCGCTATGCGACGGTCGTTGCCCCTCCCGCGGGGAGCGGCTGTCCCACCGGGCAGCGTGCCGCTGAAGAGGGCGACTGTCGTTAGAACGGGGCGGCTGCGGCGCGTTCCTCCGCGTTGTGCTCTGTCGCCAAGTAAGCAATTCGCTGATGGTCTTGCCGTTCGATGTCAATCACGCTGTTGCCTTGTCGCTGGGCTATTGGCCGATTCGACAGGAAAGTGGCCGGCAGCTCTTGGATGCAGGGATTTTCTGCCTCTTGTTCACCGTGGATTGCGTGGGCGCCCCCAAAGGATGCAGCCGTTGGACGAGGAGCAACATTCAGTGGTACTCGGTTTTTTGTGCTGATCAGGCACCGGAGGCTGATGGAAGTTCAGAAACAGAAGGAATGCGCCTGAAAGCATTTCGACGGTGCAGCGAACATACAAGCAACTGCTGTAGTATCGTGTTTGTGATGATGTGGTAGGACAAGATCCGCATTTGTGCTCAAGTTTTGTCCACATTTGCTACCAATGCGCGAATATTGTCGATACTGAAGGAAATGGCACACCGTATCAAGGGATGTAACTTGCAGCACGTCGTACTGAGCGGACGCAAATAGCAGAATGGGGATTATGCCCAGAGAGTCGATGGTACGTGGCAAGGGCAAGTACAATTAGCACCAAGAAAGTCACTGGACTGGTGCTTCACTTCGAAGTAGCCCTCTCACAAAGGAACCCTGCACGTTTATGCTGAGTCTTGATTCCAGAATCTAGTTGCAACCTTTGCCAGGATATGTACAAAATCCAGGAAGAGATCGAATATTGTCAATCTACAATCATACCTCGTGAAATCTACACATGATCTATCTGCAGGCGCTGCAGTGCTGATGTTGTTGCATTGCACGTTGCTCAGGTACACCCCTGGCCCTGCACTTCGGCGAGTCTACCATCATCCTTCCCTTCTCCTTTGAGGAAGCACGGAATCTGGGCAAGTCCATTCAGGCTCTCATAAAGACGTTTGCCGAAAAGCAAGAAGCTGAGAGACCAAAGAGGTGGGACATGATGGAATACAGGTACAAGAGCGAGGGCGCTGATGATGCTGTGTCCTTGTTTGAGGTCTTCTGCAACCCAAATGCACACTCCAGTGCATTCGACGCCAAACTGCTCGTCACTGTGCAGGCGCCAGGGGGTTTGAAGATGACAACTGAAGGGAGACTCAGCAACGTGAAGGCCGATTTGGCAGGGTACTTGCAGCAGCACAAGCCTTGACAAGGAGCTGCTGTTCAAGGGTGCCCTGTGGGAAGTGTTCCCATGCAATGGGGTGGACCCTAGATGGGGCAAATGTTTAAAAGACGCCACCCAATGCAGAGTGCTGATTTGCACCGTAGAGCAGCTACCTTCATCTAGGGAGTGGCGTCGGGGGCAGCAAGGCATTCTATTCAAAGCAATGTAGCTAAAGTGCAGGACGAAGAAGGGATTGTAGTACAAGCAATTGTAGCAATGGTGCCAAGAAGAATGGGGCTGTATGCATCCAGAACTTTGGGAATGATGTGCACAAGATTTTTTGAACCAGTATGACTTTTCTGATTGAAGGGTTTTGGCAAACTTCCGTTAGATTCTGACCCTCAATTGTCAGCAATGCAGGACTCCTGATCTTTCACTGTCACGAATCCAAGTGAATTGTCAGTTTTAACGGCGAACACACACATGGAAACAAGAGTGTTTACATGCGGAAGCGTGGACAGCTTTAGTGGAATTTAGGATGTGTTCTACGCACTTCCATTTCTGCAGAGTTTACCCAAAAGATTCAGAAGATCCATTTGGCTGGGTGGTGCACACATAGCAACACTCCACCACTGCACCACTGCCTGCAAGAGTGTGGGAACACTCTGTGCTCGCATCACCTAACTGCAAGAACACAGGGAACCCCGTTCGCCTGACCAAGCGCAGAAGGTTGATGTGCAGGGAATTGTAGCTGGTGTGCAGTCTCAGCACAAGCCACAGAGAAAGCTGTGCACGGCACCTCTCCTGCACCCTTTCTTGCCGCTTGCACACACATGTGCACCTTCAGGTGTGGCGCCCGCTGCTATGGGAACACGTCTTGAAAAGGAGCGTCAACAAATTCTTGTTCAACGGGGGGTGGCCACCCCTTGATTGCAGACAGTCCCACCTTCCACTGCTGTTTGTATTCGTGTCCAGGGCGCCTTTTCTCCACCTTTTTGGACTTGCTCTGTGCCACCAGACACGCGCGACATGGCGCCCCCGCCACAATTATTTGCCCTCCCGACAACTTTTTGGCTGGAAACACACCTTCAGCTCCAGCAGGATGGCGAAGCGTCCCCCGGTTAGTGAGTAATCCGGTCTGCGGATACCGAATCGGATTGGACTCCCACGGGCCACTGCCGGCATATTCCCCCTTCCCCCACACGTCCTCTGCCCTCCCCTCCCTTCACAGCTCAAATCCCCCCACCCAGATTTGCCCTCCCCATCCCACCGCCCGCTTGTGGCCTTTTTTTCCCCTACCCCCCCTCCAATCGTGGCCTTGGGGCGCCAGCCATCCACGTCACGCGCCATCATCGGGACCCAACACCCCCGCCCGACGGTCCCCGCATTTGGGCGCCCCGGCTGCAACCCACACCGTCCTTTCCGTCTCCTTCGCGTCCGGCCGCCTTCCGCGCGCAGGGATCCGGGCCGCGGAGCCCCCCGCCGCTGCCCCACACCCGCCTCCCCCGATCTCCAGGCAGATTGTCGATTTGGATTGCGCCAATTCGCCAATCTCGACGCATTTCCCCTTCTACAATCCCTCCAAAGTTGCGACCCGGTCACCGCAAGTCGTGGGCACCAGCCGATTGGGCACCGAGACTGGCCGTTGTCATGGCGCGCTCCTGCGCGGTGGAGAAGGGGATGGAGGGCCTGGCGCTGGGCGAGCATCCGCGGGGCGCCCCCCCGCAGGGCCTGGGGGGCAGGTGCGGGGGCCTGGCGCCCGCCGCGCGGTGGCCGACACGCGGGGCCCGGGGGGCGGCCAGGCGGCCCACGAGCCCCTGCGCCGTGTCTTCAGGTGCGCGGAACTCCGCTCCGGGCATTGGATGCCGTGTTTTGGGGGGTGAATGCTCGGATGGCGCGGTTTGGCTCCCGTAGCGCTGAAGTCTAAACTGCGAAGATAGTGACTCATGGTGACGAGGCGAGGCGACGACGCGCCCTGCAAATCGACGTCCCGGAGGGACGCGAGTTGATGAGCTTGTGGATGAAGTGCCGGGATGTCTGCGGGTCCTGGGTGCCCCCCTGGGCCCCGTTGCCCACGGGCGCTGCAGCAGACCTTCGCCACGGCAGGGATGGTGGGGAAAGATTGCCACAAGACAGGACAACGAGGCACAATCCGACTTTTCCTCCGTCTGTAAGGTGGTTTAGCGGGAGCCCCAAGACAAGACGAGGCGGATGCAAAGGAGAGAACATCACGTGTCGACGTAGGATGTCCATTGCCAAACAGCGGTGTGCAAACCAGCAACCCGGGCAACGACAAGAACACGGAACCAATCTGTGAGGCTTTGTCGTTTTAAATGGGGTCGATTTCACGCTGCCGCAGAGCGCCTGATCGCGGACGTTTTCGAGCTGATGGATGCGACCGAGCAGGAGGTGGCGTCGGGCGAGGTGCCGGGAGCGAGAGCCGACGCGGCCCCGGGAGTTGTCCAGGTGGGCGGGAGCGCATCGCTGCGGACGGATCCCGGGCTGCCGGGCCATCACCCGGTTGACGTGCCACTTGGGGGCGTCTTCTACGGCGCGTGGGGGGCCTGTTGTGGGCGTGCATGTCGTCGTTGGCAACTTGCATCCAAACTTGCACGCCATCTGCACGAGCCATTCGCGTCATCAGTGATGGACGCGCAGGCGCTCAGCGTGGCAACTTGCGTCCGAACAGTTTGCCATTCTCATCGCAGTTCTGAGACAACTTTACTACCCGCAGTCGTCAGGCGCCCGCTCGACTGACAGAGTCCACGTGTTGCCTGTATGGCCGGTCGCTGGCCGTCTGGGGTCTCGAGGGCAGTTTGAAGGGGGCAGTAGCAACGCCCACTGGCAGGTGTGCCAAGAGCAGTGCAAGAGTCTCTGTGGTTGGTACATGTTGCTTGTTCCCAACTGGGGGATGAAGTGCAATAGCTTGTTGGTGTACGTGCCATGGCCAGTGTGTCCTGAGAAGATGGCCATTGCAAAGGTATTTCTCGATTCTTTGCCCAGTTATGTCGATCGTGTGCCATGGAAGCACTAACAGACTACTACACTTGTCTCCATCAGCCGGTTCCAGACGATGGTACTCTGGGTCGCAGCCAAATGGAAGGCAGTGTGGACCCACAATTGGTCTCTGGTCTGGGCAAAACGCCACAGCAGATTGCTGCTTCACTGCTGGAGCGGTCTGAGCACCAAAGGGTTGTCCTGGCCACCCGAATTGAACCTGCGGTGTATGCAGCCGTCCGCAAACTGGTCCCAGGTGAGAGAAGTCAAAGAGCTTGGTATGGTTGCACAAGGGCCAGCTGCGATACATATTGGACAGTGTTTTGCAGGGGCTTTCGAGTACCACAGTTTAGACCACGGTCATGCAGTGCTTTTGTCTGTGGCCTTGGGCTTGGAGTAGGCAGGCTGCTCTGGGGCACTGGCAGAGCCTATTGGCAAAGCTGAGCTTTGTTGAAATAGGGCACAGCCACAATCTGTGTTTTGCATCCTACTGGTGGTGCCAGTGCAATCTTCTGTTGTGGCTACGGTAAACGTGACTGGAAGTTGAAAAGTGGACCTGCCATGTCCTGCAGGCCACAGCCGCACCTGCACACTCCAGTTTTGACATTCCTTTTAGTGTCCTTGACAACAACAGCAACAATATGAGCACATGGTGTCTGTCTGGCAATGCAACTTCTGGATGATTGGGCTATTGGGTCCCAATTTGGTGAAATGGGCATTGGAATGAAGTGGAGGCTCCTGTGGCAATAGTTTGTTTGCTGCCGTGGCATGAAATCCAGTCTGGCATGTCCGCTACGAGATTTTAAGCCAGTGTGTGCTGGCACATTGCTGAGTCTTTTGATTGAGTGGCTGTCTGGGACTCCAATGCTACCCCGATAGGCAAAAGGGCAATTGTTTGCCAGAAAATTGAGCTAATGCAGTCAACCAAGCTTTCTGCTGACAAGGATTTTCGGTTGCACAACCAGGAGTGGAGTACCATGGTGGTGCGAAAATCCTGACACTGCGTGTTCCCAAGGAACTGCCCCGGAATGAGCTGCATAGGCTGCCAGGGTCAGTGGCGATCGTGACGTGTGGGACAGCAGACCTCACTGTCGCCGAGGAGTGCAGGCTTGTGGCAGAACACATGGGCTGCTACGTCTACAAGATCACAGAACTGGAAGTTCAAGACTTTCAAAAACTGTTGTCCAATGCGGAAGCCATCCAAGCAGCGTCTGTCGTGGTGGTTGTGGCTGGGACAGATGCTGCGCTACCAAGTGTGGTTGCTGGGCTTGTGGAAGTGCCCGTGGTATGTTGCCAGTTGGCATATGTCATGGATTGTGTGAAACTTACCGCAACTGCTCAACAAGTCGATTTCCATCCAGAGTAAACCTTACAGGGGTTGGGGGGTCCTTGCTGTGAATGTGACGCAGCTTGCATGGACATGCACAGAAATTGTATGTTGCCCTTCTCAACTGGCTAAATTCACGCAGCTGCTGTATTTTGATAGCCAGTCACAAAGCTCTTGGTGTTCTGGACAGTGACTGATAGCTTGGGTATGTTCAGTGGACAGTCATGGAATTGCGCCTCACATCACATGAATACATTGCAGGCATATCTCGCTTCCCCCTAGGGGTGTGACAAGTCAATTGGGGCAAAAGCACTGTCACGTTTGTGTAGCTTTCTTCCATATTAGCACGCTCGGTGCCACAGTCCTGCAATTCACAAATGGTTTTAATGTTTGTGTTGTGGAATGGAGATCATCAGTCGGAAGACATAGCACAGTCCAGACACATTTTCAAAGTTGCATAGGCACCTGTCCTTGCCTTGATACGCTAAGGTACAAGCGTGCTTTGGCAGATCGAAAGCTGTCATTGTACTTGATACCTGCCCACTTTTGTTCTGCTATGCACTTTGCGAACAACACAATGCAAGCTGAGAGAGACCCTGACTGCACGTGACTCGTTATTGAACAGGTGGTTGTTCCAACGAGTGCTGGGCATGCGACGACCATGGGAGGGGTGGTTACTCTTCTTGCCAACCTCAACAGTGCCTGTCCAGGAATGAGTGTTGTGAATGTGGACAATGGAATCGGGGCAGCCATGGCAGCTGCTCGGATGTTGAAGACAGCAGACAAAATCATTGCCCAGAAATCGCAGCAGGCATTGATGGCAGCAACCACTGGCAACAAAGGGCACTTCGAGCAAAATGGGAATGGGCACAAGCCAGCTGCAGGGGATGTCGTTCAGGGGAATGGCAGTGGTGCGGCCATGAATAGTGGGGTGAATGATGGCATGGACGGAAAAATGGGAGGCAGGATTGGAAAGCCTTTGTTGGGGCTGTTGATTTTCCAAACTGTGCCCTTGCTTCCCAAGTTGGTCCCACTTGGCATCGGCGCCTCTGTGACATTGACGTAGGTAACAAGCTGTCAGGTGAGCTTGCTTCTGTCCGATTCCAGGGGAAAGCAGTCATGTGTGCAGTCCCAGACTTTTTTGGTGCAGTGTGAGTGTCGGCTTCGGGGAAGAATGAAGATGCGATTACTCCTTGCTTGCTGATTAGAGCTGTACATTAAGGTGCAAGCATTCGATTGGGCACGATTCTCGGTTTCAATTTTGCTCGTGACAGAATCGCATTGCTGTGGGGCTGTGGTGGGAGCGGATGACATAGTGCTGTTCATTGGCACAGGCGACTCAGGAAAGTGGGTGGAGTACTTTTTGTTCGCGTTTTGTGTGGGTGTGCTTTTTACCCAGAATAGGTCTCCAACGTAGTGAGTGCAGGGTGGAGCTGGTGGAGGACAGCTGCTCCAGTGGCATCGCTGTGTGTTGTGTGGCGCTGGCTGGAATCCGGCGTCAGGTGCAGTTTTGAATACATTTGTGACTTCATTGCACTAATTGTCGATAGGAGTAAGTTTAGCAGATGGGCAGTTTGGCAGTTTGGGGTTTGGTGGGATAGGCACAGTTTGTAGGCATGCTGCAGTTTTTGACAGTGAGCTGCGCCTTGGGATGTGAGTGTCTGGGATCTGTGCGTGGCCCGCGTTGCAGGTACGCGTGCTTGTTCCCTGCGGCCGTCATGATGAGCGATGTTCATCGGGATTGGGGATGAGTTGCAAGGCCGGTGCCCTGTCGATTTTCATTTCAGTTGCCATCGGTGGTCAGATATTTGTTCTTGTGTCGAGAAGAAGCGTCGTTTATGGTGTGGAGGAATGTCAGGCGCAGTGTGGGAAGAACAGAACTCTGCTGCTTTTGTGCGGATGAAGGAGGTTTGTGTGCGGGCTGGAGCATGCGCTCGACGCTGTGTTGCGTGCAATTGGTGAAGTGGGATGTCCTATTCTCATTGTAATTGTAGGCACCGTTTGGCTGTGCCGTGGCTGAATGTGCGATACTAAGCCCAGCTTAACAGACTCGGAGAGTGCACCTGGGCGCCAAGCTCATGGTACAACCCTGCTGCTTGCATTTTGCCAAGGGGTCAGCGGCTAATGGTGCCGTTGGGCCCATGTGTTCGTTTGTGACTTGATTACGTCGCAGTTGTTTGTGTAGAGTTTGTCTGTAGGGACGCAACTTTAACGTTATACGTGTAGCGTTACACGTGGCGCAGAGATGCTCCGCCCTAACCTTCCACTCCTGGTGCAGTGGCCTGTGCAACATTTGATGTCACGTGTCCTGAACGTAGCAGCGCAGCAGGATCTCCAAAACGACTAGGGAGTCGACGGGCACGAAGATGGGATATGTAGTCGAATGGATGAGGACATGGTACCTCGCAGAGCATGCGTGTGTGCGTTGTGCACCAGTTGATGTTTGCTTTTGCTATTTTGCTAGTACATGTGCTGTTTGCTGATTGCTGTCGCTGTGGGCTCTGCGCCACTGGCACAGCCCACAAGAAGGGCGTGCTCCGTCCAAGTTTAGTTGGGGTGTTTTGGCACCGCTTGGCGGTTCTCGCCACCTGCTCTGCACAGCATCGGTGAAAACACTGCAGCAGTTGAAGCCGACATAGTAGCAATCTGTGATTATGTCGAGAACAGGTGCACATTTCGAGGCCGGCTTGCCTCTTCGGCGTTCAGAGTCTGCCAGGTTCAGAGTGGCATGCACCCTCCAAACGTCCTGCGGGTCGGGACCCTATGCCGCCGATGCCATCTCTGGGAAAGCGCATCTTGACTTTTTGGCACGGCGGCCGTCGACAAAGCCGCCTTGCTTACCATAGTTAGAGAGTTTCTCCGAGATACATGGACAGTGCCATATGGTGAAATGGAACGGATGGAATGCAGATGACGCAGCGTTTGGGAAACGACGGAAGGCCTTTGGTTGGAACACGATGAACTGTGCCAGGCGGTGCAAATACGTGCTCGTCCGTAAATGCAGCATCCGTGTGCCGCATGCTGCGCGCCCTCAGGGCACGTAGCAGATCGCACAGCTGCACGATAACTTCTGCTCGAAGATGCCTGAGTTTGTTTGACATTCGCATCACCGCATCCAAGCCTGCAAAGGAATCTACTACTTGGCGCTCCGATCGAGGAAAGCGAGTGTCCATGCGCTGGCACATCGAATCGGCAGATACCGATGCGAGTTCTCGACGCATTGGGCGATGCAACGACGAGCTGCGGTTCCTATCAAGTGCACAATTGTCCATTCTCTGATTTCTTTACCTTGCACCGTAAGACAGTGCATTCACTCCCAAGTGAGACTAGCATCCATCCTCAGACGTCTAATGCATCGCTTCAAAGGTCTGGGTGAAGTCTTGCCCTCTCTTCTCGCCTTGCCTTCTTCAATTTTTCTCTCCTTTCCTCCCTTTCCTTCCCTTCCTGCTTCGATTGAGCCAGAAACCTTGAGCGAATGTACTGGTGCATCATCGGGACTACCCTCTCGTATGGGCACTGCGACCACAATTTCAAACTCTCAATTGTCTTTGACTCAGATCCCCAATATCGCATGGACTTGCATCTCTGTGATAGTGGAAGAATGAAGGGCCATCATCCCAATTTGAGCGACAGGGTTGAGACGTTTTCATGTCATAAGAGACGATGCTCTTGGCTCCAAATGCTTAAGGAGGAATCTGCAGCGCCACGAAATGTTCTCAGCAAGAGCAAACGCTCAGGAAATCATGCACAATATGCAATGTAGAATGCGAACTGCGCCCTCGATATACCTCCTCTGAGAAGCCCGGCGGCATGGTGTCCTCCATCAACTGATCTGTGGCACACGCCAGCCACTGGTGCAAGCAGTTGCTCCCCAGCTTCCCATTGTCCACCTTTGTGCGCCAGCATATCTTGAAATCTCTACAGCAGCGTCGGGGTATCGCACGGCTCCTCTCCTGAAATAACAATATCGAGACTTCCGCATTGCGCTTTTGAACTACAACAAAGGGGGCTCCCTTTACAGTGGCAACACCTGTGCACAAAGGTCCGGCAGTTGTGCCGACGCACAGGTCGAGGCCGGGGGATGTGTCAGTTCTAAATTCTTGCGCTGTGTGGAATCGCAGCAGCGGATCAGAGGTGATGCAACAGGTTGCCAGGAAGCTGCTGCCTGCACGTTGGACCAGAAGATTCACCAACGCTCTATGGTGATCCTCGATGCCATGCGCAGGTGGCGCATGCTTTTGCGCATTCTTACGCACAACTGCGCGTGAAATTAATGAGGCCATATTTGTGCGGCTCTAAGCATGGGCAAAAACATATGGCGACAGGTAGGTTAATTGAGTTGTTCTTGCAAAGTTATAGCAAGATTGGATAACAGACACGACTTTTGGAACGGAGATAGTACATGAAAGTAAGCGAGCCGGGGACAAGTGCCACATCAGGAAGCAGCAGCTGCTACGCCGCAGTGAGAACACACTAAAGTCAACGCACATGCGCAGGGCGCAACCCACCTTCGCACCCGCTGTTCCCGAAGCCACAATACTTTCCGTACACCAGCGTGTCCATGGAGTCACATCCCTCCTCGCGGCACTCAGACGAGCACTTCTTTTCTGACTGGACCCCCACAGCGGCGCTCAGTCTATTCTCCGGCGACCGCCGAAGCGTCGCGAGCCAAACGGCGCAGCCCGTCGCGCGACGCCGTTTGGAATCTCCCCCAAGCGCCCAGCGCCGACCTTTCGAGCTATATCCATATTTGCATACGCCTGCGGCCTTGGCGGCCCTGTTGCAGCGAGCTGTGAATTGTTGCATGCCGAGACTGGTTGGTGGCACTGTTGCTACCTTCGGAAGCCTACCTGTGCGAAGTTTTGGATAGGAAGAAGCACGAGTCCCGCGAAAAGCAGCAACGGGCTCAGCGCTGCCATCCGGCGCCGGGAGTCGTGCCCCGGCGTGGTACACGGGAGGCCACGCGGATGGCTCGACGGCGCTGAGTCCCACAGGCCAGATGTTGGTCGCGCTGAAAGTCGGAACCTCTCCAATGTACTGCTTCGCCTTGAGGATTCAGCGGTGCTCCACTTGGCCGGCGCCAGGTGCAGCAAACAATTGGCCGGCGCCAGGTGCAGCAAACAACAGATCTCCGATGGTACTGGAATCGCCTCGTCTGTTTCTTGGAAAATTGTCTAGGTGACTTCTGATACATCAATTGATTTAACGGTGGGTCTTGGTGTCATGATCGCCTGGTGGGCCCAGTCGCACTTCGTGTCATGCGGCCTCCCAACAGACGCTGCTCACCAGTCAGATATGGTTTCCATTATTGCGCACGAGGACCCTATGACATCGATTTGGAGGCGGAGCGCAGAGAGCTGTGCACGGATTTCGAATTCAACTTCGGAATTGCCTAATTATCGAAGCAGTAAAACTCTCCGCTACAGTGTATTCTCAGCCACAAGGGTGTCTATTGCCCAAGCTCTTGATTTGTTCCTTCTCTTGGGCAATTTGTAACACACCACCAGGAAGTCCACTATCTGGGACATTGCCAGCTCATTGAAGACATCAGTTACTATATTACAGCGACCTCGGTTGCCGGTAAGGTTTTAAAGAGCCTTCCCGCTGGCTCACGCTCTCTTGAAGCTTGGGATTATCAATTGTCAAGAAGTGCTCTGCATCAGATCCATCTGCATTTATCCCCAAGAGGCCGGTGCTTTCGGTGAGGGTCAAGGCGCACTATTTCATCAGATGTGTACCTGAATTTGGAGTACAGCGGGGCTCCTTGCCCGCTCAAATTTAGCCGCTTACTCTTAGTGTTGGGATTGGGGCATCGCTTAGCTGAACAAATTGCTGCGTTGCCGTCTGCCTCTCTCGTGTCTCGCCTGGCGCCGGCGGAAGATGACAAGGTGTGTGGTGTAGGATCAAAAGGGAGAGCAGGTTGTATCAGGGTAGGACAGTTTGACGGATCTGGATAAGTGCACGACCCCCCAGAGGCGATGAGCAGACTCGGGGCTCCAAAGCATTAGTTGGTGCTGATGCGTCAGAAGCACGACTGCATATGGGCGCCTGTTCTGCCCGCGGGCAGATCAGAGTGGGGACGGACATCAGGTCCGTCCGACCGTCCGTCCGTCCGTCAGGTCCGTCCGTCCGTCCGTCCGACATCACCTCCGGATGTGCGCGCCGTGCAGTGGGCGGATTGCTGCGTCGGCAGGGACGGCATTTGGTCAATAAGAGTTACGAAGCGTGGTTGTCATGTAGCAAGTTACGACTTGGCCTTGGAACGAGTAATGAGCCCCACATGAAGCGCGAAACAGTGAACTTGCCAAAACTCATCTCAGACGAACACCCACACAGCGTGCGCACGTCTCAAGCTTCCAGTTTTGGCGCAACGAGCAGCAGCTGAACTCATTCAGTGCTTTTCCGGCCTGCCTACCTCACATAACGACCTCCAACAGATCAGTGCTCCTGAAATTTTCAATCAATTCTGCAACAGCCCTCTGGTCACATTGTGCAAGTCTTTCTCAATTTCCACAGCAGCCGGGCGCGGCACGTCTATTATTTGGTCTCGGGCCCCTTTGGTAATTTGGAAGTACCCGCTGACGCTGATGCATCCAAGTGAAAGGCAGTCGCTCTCTCGTGCAGCTCACCTCTCTTAATCCCGCAATTGTGATCACATCCTCCAAATAAGAGCTTGCGACGCCCAGATACAACACAATACTGACAGCCTCAACTGCTCCTTCGCTGCACCCGCTGCTGCCCCTTAGCGACAGCGCTGCAACAGCACCCTGCTTGAATCCCAGCAGCACGCCCCATCAAAATCTGTGAGTGCTTGTTGCCAATCCATCTTCGAGTCGGAATAAAATCCAATCCGGCGAAAGTCCGAAAGTCCAAGAAAATACTCCAAGCATCTCCAATCCCCTGCCCTCAGCCAGGCGCTTCAGGCAGCTTTAATTGAGAACGCGTCGCATTAAGCACTACTCCATACCTCTGTTTGCTTGTGCTGCCCAGCATTGGAACTGCAGGTCAATGTGGCCACAGGGACATTCATTGCTTGTTGGTTCCTTGTTTCGTTGATGGTACAAAGTACACGTGCATGAGAGTGCGTCAAACCCCGTATTGCATCTGCCCCCTCCCCTGACCTCTTCACGTACAAGAACACGCCCGCCTGTCTGGCCTCCGCGTGTCCATAATGACGACCGGGTCTGCGTTGATGTATTGGAATCGGCATTCTCTGCACAACGCAGAACAAATGACCACCAAATCTTGTGCGCTGCACGTGGTCAAGTACAGTCTTGCAGAGTTTTGCATTCCCGCCATGCTGGACATCACAGTGTACTAAGCAAACACCGCCATTGTTGAAAAATCCATTGCATCTTGCGGCCAAAGGGCAAAAGTACTTGCAAAGCTGGAAGTCCGAATATTGACAACGCAGTGTATGAGATGCCTCTTGAGTCCTTCTATGTGCAATACAATATCTATTCAATAGGGGTAATGAATAACTACCACTATCACAACCTACGCAAGCACACGGAAACTTTGCACATCACATGATGCTGTTAATGGCGCACCAACATGGCGTTGGCAACTTGGAGAGCTGAGTAGTTGACAAGATATATATGCATTACATTCAAGTTCTGCACCGTGCTGTTTGCACAAGCGACAGAATCACATTCACTGCCTCATCCGATTTTGTGCGGACTGACACTACATAAGTAGAGTATCGCTTAATAAGGCGCATGTGGCTGCACTGACCCTGATTCGCAGAGGCATCCTGATAGCAGCTCTCCTGTGAACTCGAGGCAGCACATCTTCTCTTTTCGCCCACGGCACTCCCGTATTTCTTCTCCGTCCACAAATGTCTGTACTATCACGGGTGGTGGTGGCAACGGCGGACTCGCATAGGCAACCTGCAAGCGCAGTGTGAACATTCAGCAACAGCCACAAGAGAGTTTTCCAGCTTGTCTACTTCCTTCACGGTATCCAAAATCCACAGGGATACGGCAATGTTTCCACCATGTGATGGTGCTAAGCGTGCTCTAAAAAAGGGGATTGATCAGACTCTTCTGAAAGCAACATACAGAGAAAGAAATCATGCAATGCTGCGGCACAATCTGCGGTTGCGCCGTGGTGCACGTTACAATAAACACAGATCAATTGCGCTGGTACACCGCGCTGAACATGGTAGATGCTGGTTTGCAAGTGTTGCATCTTTCATGTTGGGCACGTGCAACAGATGAAGCTATGCAAAACAACCTGACATGCGTACTGAGCACCTGGCGCACGAGACTCGCTGCAGGTACTTTCCATTTCAAATTTTAGGCAATGAATGACACCCCGGCTAATTTGTCTTCATCTACAGTTCCTATGAGTCCATCCGCCGGACTGCGGACTCCATCCCTCCACCATCATCAGTAGTTACACCAAACGACGTAGCCACCGTCCTTTGGAGGACAACCCGCCACAGATCTGTGGCGAAATTCTAGAATTTCATCATCTCTTTTAGGAGTGGTCGGCCCATGGCTAAAGGGCGCCTGCGTGCCCAGCGATGTTAGCAATGCAAAGGAGGCCGCACCGTTTCAAGCCGTACAAACGATAATTGCTTCAAATATCCATAAGCCCACCAACAATGTAGTTCACCTCCCGATGATCATAGGTTGGGGGTATTTATCACCTGTTGAGTTGGCGCAGGTGGCTCTGCCACAGTGCCCTCAACAACATACTCAACGTCTGGCGTTTGCGTTGCAGGTATGGCTGCGTTCAAGCACACTCTTGTCAGTCAACGGACTCCGCCCGTACTTTTGGAGAGCGGCCATGCACATCCAAACGTTCTAGCGTCAAGGACAGCATGCTTTTTGTAAGGCAAAGTGCTGCTGCAATGTAATTTTAACATTCTGTGCAAATAAAACACCGCCGTTCCCTCAGTTTCGGAGTTCTCTAGGGGGCGCAAGCTGGCCAAGCACCACTCCTTAGGGCTTCTGTTGACTGGCATATGGCGTAGCAGCCATACTTTGGAACAGCAAACTATTGCTGCATGCCGCATGCAACGAACACAAAGGATAATCGCAGTTATTTGCCACAGCCCTAAGTCGACAGCTTGGTATTGCCTAATTCCGGGGCAAGAAACTTTTTGCACACAATACTCGCTGACATGGAACATATTGTTGTAGCTCTGAAGAACGCTTCTGCGACAAAGACGGCCGCGTCTTGATTATTTTTGTGGTCAAATTATGGTTCGTTCTGCAGTTAATGCTGAAGAGCTGCAAATCATTGCATGGGATCTAAAGAAGGAAAAGTTTTGAATAAACACTAAATATTCTATTACAACTTAGATAAATTCATTCCTAAATCTACACAGAGCTGAAAAACTTCACGGAAACATTTCAGTGGTGCTCCGGTGGTAGTTCACGACTCTGAAAGAGAATATCAGAAGGCAAAGTTGAAGTGTAGGTTGAAAAATTCAGACAATGTTACCTCTTCAAGCCATGTCCAAATGCGAGTCTCTGGCGTCCAAATGGTGGCATTGCTGGAAAAGGGATGCTGTGGATGTCACGTGGACTCGTCGCTTAATCTGATACAACATCTGAGCTGTGTGCGTGCTGGCGAAGGTGCCCAGCTTTGCAAATTCGCTGAGTTCTATACACTTCTGGAAGGCTCTTGTTGGGCCACATGTCGTTTAATTACAATATTGACAAAACATAAGAAGTTTTTACTCGACGACCTTATTCTTAAGGTATTGTTAAGTATATTCTTATTTTTAAGTTTTCCAGAAAGAGCCTTGGCTGGTGTGTATATTGCGTCCGTTATTTTCTCATCTCCCAAACGTAAATTTTGCAGGGCTTGTCAAATTTCACACCCACGGAGAGGCATGTATCAGGTCTTTGTGCACCTCTCATCGTCATCAAGTTGCAAGGGGCTTGTTCGCCATGCAATAATTGTAAAAATGAGGTCCATAAATTTACCTTGGACAACGATAAAGGCATATGGTCTCAGAATGCCCCAATCACAACAGTACTCACCAGTGGTGAGCGCTCCTTCAGGTGACCGCTTTCATTGAACCTTACATTACTAACATTTATTGCACAACATCAAATTGGAAATTTCTCAAGATTGAACGTATTTCTGGTACAAACGATACATGCTTCAGGTCCTTCCGACACGGAATTGAGAACTCAGTACTGGATTCCCTTGAGTAGGGACACAGTCCACTGATGCAGACCTGTAAGCTACGGATACGATTGCCACACTTACCGGTTCCATCAACAAGGAACATCACTTCTTGAAGGACTTCCGACGCCTCCTGGCGACCGTCCGAGCCTCTTTTCACAACGTCTAATAGTTCCCGCCCTCCAAGACCAAGCCCAAATGCACGTAATATCGTCTGATCACATAACCACACAGCCACGCAGGGAAACACATCAGGTTCCTGCCCCAGTCGTACCCGGCGCTGGTCATGTGCCAGGCTTGTGGAAAACAGTTCAACATGAAACGATTTGGCCATTCGCTGAATTGGGTCGCATCAGGAATGCATTTAGATTCTTTTCAGGAGGAGTTACCGCCGACAAAGATACCGCAATCATGTGGTTGCGGGACCTCTAGAGTCTGCCATTAGCTTACCTGAAGAATATACCATTTGGAGTGCACTGCATGCCTTCTAAATTCAAATGGGTTCTCTTTTCCAGGACACCAAGAATATGCAAATCAGTGCAAGGGTTATCTTCGCCCCCGAGGCGAGAGAAATTGGCGTTACGATGTATAATAATTGTGCGACAAGATGGGTACAAGAAAGATATTTAATGGCAGGAGCAATGCTTTCTGCTCCGTATTTTGGTTTTCAGAGCGATTTTTTTTCGTTTCTCCGCACAGTAAGGCCAAGATTTTCTTTATTATTTACATTATCTTCTCCGCAAAAGGGACCAAGCTTTACGTGACTATGCGTAAGGGTTTATATTTTTACATTACTGAGTCTTAAACACTGGCAAATCTCACATGAACTATGTTCAGCGCCTCCCGCATCAAATTCGACGTATTCCGACTGGCTCGGTGTGCGCTGCCGGTCGCCTGCCAGTCTCCGAACAGGCCCCCGCCGTCCCGCAAGGCCAACAAATATGGCAAAAGCACACCACTTGGCCAGTGTTTCCGGGAATCGATACTCGGCCAACCCAGTGTTTCGCGGATACCGTAGGACGGCTCTGAGAGTAAAATCTGCCATTTGAGCCCACCTGTGCGATTCCAGGCCTGCTCCTCGACTGGAACAGGCCTTGGATGACGGACTCCGAGTCTCCGTTGCGCACCGTCTCCACAAGGATGCGCGCGGCTTCGTCGATGTTGCCGCTGGCGATGGCCTCGGCCAGCCTCTGCGCCAGGCTCAGCCCGGCGGAAATGAGCCTCAGCCGGCGCCCTCCCAGGGCGGCGGGGAGATCTGGGGGCCGCAACAGGCACCGGGCATCACAAAATGACGACGCGAGGCGGACAGCGGAAAGTTCCCCAACGCGTAGAGCCCGTTCTCCTATTTTGGCGAGACGACCACCACGCTGGGAACCAACTGCCCGGCCCGCCACCGGCACACTTGCGGGTGGCGTTGCGGTCGTCATTTGCACGTGTGAGACCGAGAGATAAGTCCGCGGGCTCCCTCGGTGTCGCAACCAAATCCACGCTCTGCTTCGTCCCGCAGGGGGCGTGGACCAGGACAACGTTGCCAAGCGAAAATCGGCTCCTTGGAAGGGCGCAGGGTCGTGAGCGCGACGCCCGCGTCGATGGGCCCGAGGCCCCACGCCGACTCACCGCCTTCCTCGCCCGATCCGTCCACGCCCGCCCCGCCCGCGAGGGGCGTCTCCAGCGAGGCCATGACCGCCAACAGGGCTGCCGCGGCGCCCATCCGCCATGCCATCATCCCGCGCCGCATGGGCGCCCGCCTCCGCGCGGTCGATTCAATGCGCCGCGTGCCCATGCGCACAGGCGCCGCCTGCTTGCATTCGTGACGATTCGCGCTCCCAGGTGGCCGGCGACCCGGCGGGCAGGCGGCGACCTGCGGCCATTCGTAGGTCGCTGTCCACCGAGGAACGCGGCTCCGCCGGCCGGAGCAGGGGGAAGTTTCTAAGAGCGGCTTGTCGGCTGGGTACATCGTTGCAGGTGTACATGGGCCTTGGGCAAACACACGAATCAGTGCTTGATGCGTGAAATTCATGCGAATGGTCCATGGTGCTGTTTGTTACGGCCAGCGTGCTGAAGAAGGGATGCGACTGCGCGGAGACGTCGTTGACACCGGCCAGTGCATTATGCGTCGGACCACGTGGACATCAGGCTGGCTTACGTGGTTTCTAAGGAGGGTTTTGCTAGTATCCTCGGATGCCGCTTCTCCAGACATTCGATTGTGTCATTGAGTGGTGAGGCGGAGGAGGTGAGTCTCAGGCCGAGACAGTCAGTCTCCAGACCGTGGACCGCGTTTGGATAAATCAATCGAATCTGGCGATCTTCTGTGGAACGAGCCACAGGGATGTCAAATCCCCCACTGCCTCTAATGGACTGGACGGGGGTACTGTGCGCTTTCCACTTTTCCTTTCTATCTTCTTCAATGATTACAGTTTTGATTGGAATCAAGGGCTGCATTAATGCATGAATGCGTTAATATTCATGCAAGTGCGCTGGCGATTCTTGATTGGGGGATATTCGAGCAAATGTACATCACACAACTGGTATCACTGGTAAATTGTTCAACAAAAGGAAGCAAAGACCCCCAGAAGGCTCCCCTCCAAATGCTGCATTGAAGGCAAGTTTCTTTGCAGAAGGAGAACAGACCTTTTTGGCATAGATTCCAAAATGCTTCGCTTCTGGAAGTCATGTAAACAGCAAAAAGGGCTACATTAAGCCACCTGGGGGGTGAAATTTTGGCCCCGAGACATCTCGTATCGTGTGGGTGGAGAATGGTTACCCCGAAATGGTCACTGCATTTTGTGAAACGTGGATACTGATATCTTAAATTGTTGAATTCACAAGCGCACAATACGGCTCATTCCCATTGCACACTTTTTGGCAGATTCTGACTACTAAAATGTTTACAGAGATATGCCAACATCTAGATTCCAAGGAATACGGATCCGTATTGTTCATCATTCACTCCGGAGCGAATGATATGCGGCATAGAGGATGATACGCGTCGCCCATGCGCTACACTTTGGAGAGTCTATCGCCAGGTCCAGGCTTGGTTTTTACGCCGTAAAAACTGATCGTATTTACGTTTTTACGCGTAAAAACAGTTTTTACGTTTTTACGCGTAAAAATGCGTAAAAATACGTAAATACAACGTAAAAACTGTCCGGTGTACATAAGGACAGTACATGCAGACTTGTGGAGTCCGGAGAATGGCAGCCAGATGCCCTGGAAGGGGCAGAACACGAGTTTTTGTTAAACGCCATCATCGCCCTTGCCAAAGGCAAGGTGAACATTGTGCTGCGGGTGCTGGAGATGGCGGATGACTGATCATTGTATGCAACTTTCATCGTGTAATCTGGGTGTTCCTGGGAGCCGTAAAAACGTAAAAATAGCCGTAAAAATAGGTCCTTTTGCAAATTTACGTTTTTACACGTAAAAACGTAAAAGTAAAAACGTAAACGTAAACGTAAAAACCAAGCCTGGCCAGGTCCAAGGCATCTACATGGTAGAAGTAACTCAGTGAGTGGAGTAATACTTTCAGCGCCGGCGGGACTCAAGAGGTGTTTCGCCTGGTCCTCCGAGCACCAAGGCTGGCCAATAAAGCCTGGTCCTCCTAATTTCTGGACTACTTGTCATCGGGCACCCCGGCAAAATGCGGTTCGAATGCTGGGCCAAAGGCGTGATTTGAACGTGCATATTTGTGAGACTTGAGTAATCCTGCAGTGCATGGCACGGCAGTTCACAGCGGGGTACCCCATTCCATGCCATCAGTTGCAGCTTAGAGAGTAGCTTCTGTCGAGAGGCATGCTAGCCATATGTCTGCTGCTTTCAGTGAGTGAAACGCTTCTACCGGCCAATCCAAGCATGCATTTGCATGGAACAGGTAGCCATGCATGGTCCTCTATTCATGATAAAATGCAACCAAGTTTGACCCCTCCCTTGGGCATCACATGCACTGTGCCAGTAGTTGCTTTATCTCAAGACCGGCGATATGTAGCCCTGTGCTGCACGCAGGCATGCTTCAGTGCCCAAACAGCCCCAGTCCCGTCAGCTTCCGGCACATTTTCGCGGGAGCTATTAGCCGTTCGCTATCCCAACGTTGGGGTGTTAAGAAAGGGAACTGCCGTCACCATGTGCCGTTCGGTTGATCAACCGTGGCTGTGGGGGTCCTCCCATGTGACGGCGCAGGATGGATGTGACGTTCGCCGACAACATATCGCGTGAGCGCGACAGTTTGGCCGCCCCGCCAGCAAAGCATCGCGCAGAGTCGCGGTGCCTCCAGCTCATCCCCGCTGTCCAACCATGTCCTGCGCCGCCCTCTCGAGGAGCCGCCGAAGAGCCGCGGAGTGTGCCCCAAGCATCGCCTGGTCTCGGGTCGCGAGAATCGGACTCGTGCGCTGTCAGGCGGGCCGCAGAGGATGGCGCGGGGCGCCGGCGGCAGCATGGGCTCCGTTGCGGGGGTCGCGTTGGTGATGGCGGTCGCAATGCTGGGAAACTTGCACGCAGGTGCGTCCCTGCCTCTGGCTTCTGCGCGCAGCCCCACGCCGCCGCAGCCTGCGTAGTTGTTGTTCTGCGATGGCGCATCTGCGTCGCGTTTCTTCAGACTTGCTTTGTGCGCAGTGCCCTCCTGGGCACCAGAGGTGGATCTGCCTCCAAGTTGCAGCCCGTTGTGGCAGTCCAGAGCGCAAAGGGGCGCTAACTTGGCATTGGGAGGGGGGCCGGCGCCGTGCCATTTTGCCAGGCGACGAGCGTCGCAGCCGCCCGTTGATGTCCGGGCACGGGTACCCGTATTCGACCGGTCGAATACGAGATTCGGGCACCCGGCTTTCCGCGCGAGCGCGGCAGTCGTTCGGCATGCGGGGGTTAGTTTGGGGGCGATAGCCCTGGACTGACGCGGCGGAACGCCGTTGTACAAGATCGGTGTGACCAGGTTTGGATGCGCATGGATCTCTGCCGTTCGGGATTAGTCACCAGGGCGACGAGGGGCGCGTCTCGGAGTCAGAGTACCGTACAGCGCCCTGCTCTCAAAGTGGGGACGTGTGCATAGCGCAACGGTTTTGAGCGGTCAGGTGGGCGACAGTGGAACCTCGCTGCGCTAAGACGGCGGCAAGCTCAGTGCTGGGCTCGGCGAACGCCAAAGCGAGCGCCGGCTTCGAAGCCGGTCACGTAGAAGCCAGGGAATTCACCGGGCACGGTCGGCTGAGGAATTTGTGTTTTCTGCCGTGATGGGCAGCGCGCGGGAGCGACCCACGCCCACGGAGCCTGCTGGCCAGCGCGAGCTCCATCGCCACGGCCATCAGCAATGGCGACACACACACAGCTGCCAAGGCTATCGCAGACGCTCAAGCCAAAGGTGACAGCACGGTAAGCGACCGACCCAGAGACCGCTGTCGACATACATGTCACTCACACCGCAAGGGACGTTGATCGTGTCGCACCGTTGTGTGCATATTTGGTTACTCATTTCCAAAAAAGCGAGTGTCAATAGTGCACTTCAGAACGGAGCCAAATCGCAACGTCTCAACGAGAATTGCTTTGGCATTCCACCAATGCCACTGGCCACCGCAAAGTTTTCTTGTGCGCCACACTGTGAATCTTCAGAAAGTTTGGCTTACCCACGTCCTGGATGCTGCAAGGCCATAGCTGACGCTCTAGCTGAGGCGGCCCAAGGAGGAAACGCCATGGCAGCCGCGGAGGCAATTGCTGAAGCCGTGGATCAACGTGGAGCGGACTCTGATGCCCTCGCGAGGGCCATCGCTCAAGGCTCAGGAGGGACCGAGGAGACCGCAAAGGACGCTCTGACGGATGCAGTCGATGACGGACAAACGGGCGCCCTCGCTGAAGCCATTGCCCGGTCCGCGGGAGGCAGGACAGAGGCCAAAGCGGTGTCCACAGCGGAGGTGCGTTTCCAGCGGCTAAAATACTTGTTGCGCATGTCTCAGGGGTAAGGGAGAAACTGTACTACGGTATTACTTGGAGAGATCTCTGAAACAAAGTAGTAAGGGGATTTAAAAAAAAACAATCAGTCTGATTTGGAATCCAGAAATACGTGATGTGGTGTAAGACAGGTGTCGATTTGCCCTGTGCTGCCCCGCAGGCCGTCAGCCGGTCTCGCAGCGCCATTGTGACGGCGATCAGCACTGCTTTCTCCAACGTCGCGGGAGGTGGCGATGCTGTGTCCGAAGCTGAGGCAGCGGCCACGGCGATCGGGATGGCAATCGCCGAGGCTTATGCCAAAACAGAGGTGAGGGCGAGGCATCAATTTGACCTGTTGGCTCCGCGGCTGAGATACAGGGCGCATGTGCGGCGTTGAGGGGATGCCCGATCCACCCAACAAGGAACCCCTCCTAATTAGATAATAGATAATCTTAATCCTAGTTAACCTTAATCTTAATCCTAATTAGACAATCCTTCGAATTAGAGCCGACGTCCAAATTGCGAACTAAGCGCCAGGTGCAATCAGAAGAGCTCTGGTGTTCGCGTCAGATGCCGTGGTCGCAACGCACAAACTTTCGAATTGCTATCTCCGCTGATGTTCACTGGCAAAAAATGGCATGCTTGCGATGCCAGCTGCGATGCCATTTTGACAGAAAATGACGCCATCAAAGTGATTGCGACGGCATAATAAGTAGCTGGGATGGCATCAATTTGTGTCAAAATGGCATCGCAAGCATGCTGCTTTCTACTAGTGTGTTGTTGGTATTTCCCAGATAATTGATCGGTGCGAACCGATACACACAGTACCATTTGCTCACCCCTTAATGCAATCAGTGACTTATTTACCATTCATTCATTTACATTTACTGCATGCATAGTTTGCACATTGTTAGAAAATTGGCACATGAAGACATTATCCGCCGTAGTGGAAACTGGTGGAGGGATTCGAACGCCACGTTTGCGCATCAGGTCATACTGCAAGTGGACGGGAGGGGTTCCGCGCGAGGAAGGGCAGCGGCAAATTCGAAAGCGGTTGCCTCGGCATCGGCGGAGGTCATCGCGGAGGCCGTCGCCGAGGCCAGCAGCGGCGACTCGCGGGCCGCGGCGACCGCCGACGCGCGAAGCTTGTCGAGAACCATCGCCAGGGCCGCCGCAAGCGCCATGTCCTCGGCGACCCTGTCCGGCGCCGGCAGCGCGCGGGCCGCGCAGGAGAGCATTGCCAGGGGCGTGGCCACGGTCGTCGTGGATGCGCTGGCGCGGGCGCTGGCCTACGTGTCTGGAGGTGGGCGCGTCGCGAGTGCCTCGCAATGCCACGCCAGGCGGCAACGGTGGTGGTGAAGTTTTTGCCTTGGCGTCTGTGGACGCCGCGTTCTGTGAAACCTGTGTGTGCAGCTGTGTGCCCGACGTCGCTTTTGTAAAATCATGTGCCCGTTGGTCCAGTTCTCGGTGAAACCAATCACATGTAGATCGCATGAATCGTTCGTTCGATGTATCAGGGATAGGTGTTCAAGAGTTTCGAGTGCAGTCTAATAATTGTTCGATTCGATTGGACCATCATTGATATTGATTCGACAGTTGGTTAAAGTCATCTCGTTCTATTCAATTTGCCGATCATTAGTATCACCGGTTGTTTGCAAGTCAACTTTCGTCACGGAATCTCGCTTGTACTGCTTTGCACTGGCGTGGCAAATGAAGGCTGTCCTTTGGATCGCACTGTTGCAATGCGTAGGACAGAGGTTCACGCAATTTCAAAGAAATTTCTTGTTTCCAATTTAGCGGTGCAAGCAACGATGAGGTCCTCAGGTATCGGGGATTGTCGGTGCCTATCATTTAAGCACGTATCACACATGTCAGTTGACGCAACAGTTTATTCAACAGATAGCAAACATATTCAATCTAAAATAGAAGTTGGTGCATATTCGCCATCCGAGGCATGATGTGCATTTGTTGGCATATGCCCTGCAGACTCTGCCAGCTCTGAGTCCGCTGCGGCTGTGACGTTAACTGCATCGGATACAAGCACTGAAGCGGGCGCTGCGGGGGACGCGACCGTGAGCGGAATAGGCGATGCGGATGCCTCCGGGAGCGCTTCATCGGCGTCTGAGCCCATTTGCTCCTCCAGCGCCAGGAAGTGCTGCATGTCGCGGCTCACGTCGTTAGATGCTGACAGCTGCGGCTGT